TAGAGCAGTGGCTTTGAAACTTCTGTTTTTCAGACTCTGTATCTCAAATTATAGTATTATGTACCCATATTTTAAACCAGCTTTAGAAACTTTTGTAATACATTTATTTAAAGGAAGCTCTATATTGCTATATCAAAATCACTTTAGATTATGGGTTTGATGGACTATTAAAATACATTAAAAGAGTCACAATAGGAAAATATTTGTACATCCAAAAAAATCACCTTCCCAGCCAATCTTTGGGACACCTGCTGTAGGGGAAACATCTCGCAACTGTGACCAGAGGCCAAAACACGCCAGCCAGCAACATTTGTCAGCCTTTGCTTAGTGGCACAGGCTGCAGTTGGTAGATGCTTGGTAGTGAATTTTATCTTCGTACTGTGTTTATATGGGGTGCGATTTTAAGAAAAAGACCAGTTTCCAATCACATTTCCTCCCAGGGACACTTCATATCTCTTATTTTTCCTCATTCTGGGGTTTTGCGGTTAAGGAAGTAAAATGAAACAGTTTGACGAAATGTCAATCTCAGAATAAGTTACAAAACTTTAAGAATTCTTTAAGACTTAACTTCGTGGGGTGCTTGGGTGACTCAGTTGGTTAAGTGTCTGACTTGGGCACAGGTCATGATCTCAGGGTCCTGGGATTGAGCCCAGCGTCAGGCTCCTCATTCAGCAGAGATTCTGCTTGTCTCTCTCCCCCTGTCCCTCTTCCTGCTTGTTCTCGCTCTCTTTCTCAAATAAATAAATGAAATCTTAAAAAAAAAAAAAAAAGGAATCGACCTTGTGGCCAGTTGAGACTGTGGGTCAGTTATGGTCCTCTTTGGGTGCCTGAGTGGCTCAGTGGAGCATGTGACTCTTGATGTAGGTGTTGTGAATTCGAGCCCCATGTTGGGTGTAGAGATTACTTAAAAATAAGATCTTAAAAAAAAATTGTGGTCCTCTAGACAGTTTGATATTTCTCGTGTTGCCTGTGGGAAAATCTCAGCAGACCTCATTGCATCAGATCAACCCTTGAGACTAGTGAAGAAAAGGGGCTGCTTCAGCCTTAGCACCAGTAGTGAGACATCATAGTTTCAAAAGAATAAATGTTGGTTTCAAGCTATTATATCTTTTGGAAGGAAAACTCTTAGGGAAAAGGCACTTTCTCCAAACAGGTTGCTTCCTAGGAACAAAGACAAAAATAGAAACCAAAGGGAAAAGAGCATGAAGAAAAAATTTTTATATGGTCAGTTTTGTTCCTAGAATCCCAAGCTTTCTGTATCTTGAGATGTTTTCATTTATTCAGCAAACGTTTGTTGAATACCATTTACACACCTGGCTAGGTCCTGAGAATTGAGCAGTATATAGGATGGACATGGTTACTATCCCCATAAACATGAGGATCAACTGGGGCAAGACAGACACTAACAAACCATTATTACTTGAGTAATTAGAGCTACAAAGAAGAAATTCAAGGATCCACAGGAAGTTTCAACAGAGACCTGATTCAATGCATGTGGTGAGGGGAGGGGGGAGGATTTTCTGAGATACCCATGTTTGCGGAACTGAAGGATGAGTAGGGGTTGGTCAGGTAAAAAGGGAGGTGGTCAGGAGAGAGCCTTCTAGAAAGGGAGAACAGCATGGGTATATACCTCTAAAGTAAGAAAAACATGATTCCCTCGAACTGAAAGAAATCCAGTAAGAAAGCAAAAGAGGCATTTTTCTTGTCTTTTCTCTGAAGACTTGGAAGGAAGTGTTATTAATCTAGACTTGCTAATAATACACAATGGGGAATACAGCTTTAGACCCTTCTCTCTGGAAGTCTTTGGGACTTGGGTTTTTTGGGTCACCTGATGTTGGAGAGGGAGACTTCACTTATCTCCCTTTCAGGATTAGTTTTCAAAACACTTAAAACATTAATTAAAGTGTTTTGAAAATAGTCCTATTAAGTACCAATTGTTAGTACTACTCGTTACCTTGAGTACTCTAATTGCAGGGCTTGTGTATCTGATTATGGTATATGATCAGTTACAGTTTGAAGCTGTGGCTTTTTCGAGTAGTACAAGGAAACCAATGAAAGTCAGACTTTGGAGACGCTTGCTGCTGTTTTAATTTGCCAGACATCCTTCACTTTCCTCAAGTGTCATGCAGTCAGGGAAGTTTCATCTGTTGATGACAGGGAAGTGAAGCAAACATTAATCGAAGTTACAGACTCCCTGCCCCTCACAGGAACTGACTCACGTATTTTCATTTGAAACCATGGAGTTTTAGGGAGAACTAGACACTCAGAAACCTGTTTCCTTACCAGGAAAAGTCATCGTCTCATCATCTCATGGGTTTTTATTACTCTTAGCCACAAAGCATGATGTTTCCTCTCGGTTTTTACACATTTCTTCTAAACATTTTTTTCTTTGTGAGGCATCATGGACGTCAGAATTGGTGCTGATTATAATTTTCGTTTTTAACTTTTGAATTGGGTGAAGTAGTGCTTTCAGGCTTTTTAGCAAATGGTTAAGCCTTGGTTCATTCTCATTGCAAGTAAGGTCACCAGGGTTAGGAAGGGCAATCATTAAAAAGAAATTCTCTGTAAGGTAAATTCCTTGTAGGTACTTAGAATGTCTAGATAAATATACCTCTTTCCAGCTCCCATTTGCATTATTTAGCTGCCCAAGTTCTCATAAGCTCAGGACCATCCTAAGGTATACAGTCTCCACATGGTATCCCCTCCCCCTTGGGTTGGTAATGGATCCTGTCCTAAAGGGCAGTGAGCAGCCTACTTCCCATTCCTGATGAGCCTGTTTGAGGAAAGCCCAGTACTCATAGTGAGGTGTCCCAGTGCCTGACCCTGCTACTCAGTTACTAAATCTGTCCTTGTCTTCCCAGCCTACCCATTTGTTAAAGGCAGTACAGTATTCATTCTCTAAAATTTGACTTATCAGAATCTTCTAGTAGTGGGAATTTGTTTTTCTGTCTTCTTTTAGATGTTGAAGTAAATAGTAAAGACACAGGCTGAAGTTTTTGCATAAGTTAAAAAAGGGGGGGAGAAAAAAAAAAAGAAATACCTAATGTCCAACATTAGGACATTAGCAGGAGAAGAGACAAGTATATTGGGATGTCTTCATACAGTGGACTGAATTGCAGTATTGAGAACATATGAGCTAGAGCTACATGTAACAATGTAGATGAACATCGGCAAAAAAAACAAGTTGCAGAAGGACATAATAACTTTTATATAGAGAGTTGACCCTTGAACCACATGGGTTTGAATTATGCAGGTCTACCTGTAAACAGATTTCTTTTTAAGTACAGAACAACACTGTAAATGTATTTTCTCTTCCTCGTGATTTTCTTAATAACATTTTCCTTTCTTTAGCTTACTTCATCGTTAAGAATAAAGCATATAATACATATACATATACATATATATGTGTTCCTTGACTGCTTATGTTATCAGTGAGGCTTCATGTCAACAGTAGGCTATTAGTAAAGCTTTTGGGGACTCAAAAGTTAATCACAGATTTTTGCCTGCGTGGAGGTCAGTGCTCCTAAGCCCCATGTTCAAGGGTCAACTGTATAAGATTTGTAAACTTGCTAAGCAATACTATATAATGTTAAGTGTAAAGCTCTATGTGAGAAGACAAATAACAAATTCAGGATAGTGTTCATTCTAGGAGAGAGGAAGGGAAATTTGACTAGAAGGTATATACAAATATATATGTAATGTATTCCTTAAGATCCATTGTGAATATATGGCTGTTAATTATATTGTTCTCCATATCTGAAATATTTCATAATAAAAATCTGAAAAACTTAATTTTTTTTCCATAAATTTATCTTTAAAAACGCAGTTAGCTTTGGGGAATCTACTTAGGTCAGGACTCACTTAGCCAAGTTCTCTGAAATTAAAACTAATGTTTCAGAGTAAAAACCCAAAGAGGCTATAAGCTCTTCAGTCATCAGAAAGATTTTCAGTTGTACTTACTGTATGGTTCTTACGTGAACAAGGAAGCAGACCAACAGTTTGAGAGAGATTTTCAACAAGGTTATGATGAACTAAAAGAGAGGTTACAACCCGGCAGCCTCTGGGTAGAATCGAAGCTGCAGACCAATTTTTTTTGACCTTCATGGTACTCAGACTTTCAAAAAGAATGAATTAATGTTTTTTTTGAGATTTCACATTTTAAAAAATCTGGATTGCTACCTATTGTTAAAGTATCAGGAAATTTGGCATTCCTAGGCCCTCATTTCTTTTTTTTTTTTTTAAGATTTTATTTATTATTTTAGAAAGAAAATGGGGGGAGAGGGAGAGAGAAAATCCCACGCGGACTCCGCACAAGTGCGGAGCCCGACACAGGGCTCGATCCCACGACCCTGAGATCGTGACCCAAGCCGGAATCAAGAGTCCGATGCCCAGCTAACTGAGCCACCCAGGCACCGTGCTAGGCCCTCATTTCTACAAGGCAGCAACTGCCTGGAGCTGAGTAGCAACTGTTCCTTTTGGGGGGGGGGGTGCGGTACATCCTCTCCATTTTGCCACTGTCCCCACCCAACCAGGTTCTCTCATTTTATCTGCCAGGCCCTAGAGGTGCTTGAGTTTATAACCCCTGCATGAAACTCAAGTTACTTAACTAGAAAATTTATTCAAAATGTGCCTTTTCCAGGCACTCTGGTGAGGGTTGTAGTTTTACAAAAATACACACTAAAAGCATCGTTCCTAAGATAGTCTGGTAAAGAATTTACTGCTTTAGAGTATAGCACATTTGAATTTTGGTTTACCAGGTTTGTAAAAATGGCCGTCATGGCAAACATTAACTCTCAACCATGGGATGATATACAAGGACAGCTGAGAGATCGCTGGTATTCCTAGAGCACCATTCTGGCAATGCTACCAAACAGATCTGTTGAGAAAGAGCAATTATTTCTAGACTAATTAAAGAGCTTGATTAAAAAAATGTACATCTGCCTAGCTACCTACTGTCAAACTGAATTTTCATGCAAATTTTCCCTCTTCTATTTTGGTGGGTCTGAGGATGACAACAGCAACACGACAAGAAGTTCTTGGCCTGTACCGCAGAATTTTCAGGCTTGCGAGGAAATGGCAGGCGGCATCAGGGCAGATGGAAGACACCATTAAAGAAAAACAGTACATATTAAATGAAGCCAGAACACTGTTCCAGAAAAACAAAAATGTAAGTAGGCCCCAACTGGAGATTGTAAGGAGGAGGGCAGTTTCTTGTGATGTTTGTTCTTTTTCATCCGAAAATTGAGAGGACTGAGCATCACGGGTCACAGTGGCCAAGTGTGGGGCTGGAAGGGCCCAGAGGCATAGCTGAGCTCGCTTGCTTAACCACTGGGAAGCAGAGCCCAGCCTGGGTTTCTCTCTTCATTTGGTTCAGGTCTCAGTCCAACCCATAAGCGGCTCGGCGTCCTCAGAAGACCCCATGAGCCAGGTGACACAAGTCAGGCCAGTGAGGGTTTTCAGGGGAGGAGCTGTTCCTCACACACTGGGCCTGTTACCAGTCCCTCCCACAGGAGGTGTGCAGTTAAACTTTTGTTTTCAATTCATAACCTATTCAAGACCTCCAAGTATAAACCCATTCAGAGGGAGGAGAATAGGATTAAGACACAGGGTTCCCTTCATAACTTCACTTTGAACTCGAGCCTCTTTGGCTAGCAGAGTGAGTTTGCCCTTTGGGACCACAGAATTGGGTAAGATAGTGCCTCCATTAGCTAGTTTAATGGACTGCCCACCCAGACACCAGGGAGCCGAAGACCATCTGCAAGAGGCTTGATTTGACCCATCCCAACAGACTATAAAGCATTAGCTGTTAGCTCCTTACGAAGACTGCCTGGCACTAAGCATGGAAAGAGACTTTCAGCTTCTGACTTTTCTTGCCTCCTTCTCATTGATCTCACAGAGTCAATGCCGTCACTGTTCCCTCGTGAAACCTTCTGACAGTCTACTCTCTTTTCCCGCTCTGAGCCCTGTTTCTGTGTCCTTTTTGGCCCTGTCTTCTCCACACACCCGCCGGCCAACTGTAAGGATCCTCTGCAGGTCAGGCCTCTGTGCTGAGGCCCAGGGACCATGCAGTCACTTTCTGGTTCCAGCTCCTATATCTGAATACCCAGCCTCAGCCTCTCACCAGCCACCTGAAGGAGCTCATGCCAGGCATGATGATCCAAAGCAGAACTCCTCCTTCCACAAGGACACCTCCCCTTTCCAGTTTGCCTATTTTTGCTCTAGCTCCTGTTACCACTCTGCAAGCTGTTTGCTCTCATTCTTTCGGTAAGCAAGTATTTGAGTGCCCATCATGTGCCAAACACTGGACTAGACACAGGGGATATAAATGAGCAAAACCAAGACAGGATCCCTCACAGATGTTTCAGAGTTAGATGGCAAGAAGTGTAAAATGGCAATTCGGGTAAGCACTACAAAAGAAACCCTCCCAACCTACGTTCCCCTTCTCAGAAGCCCTGAGGTCTCCCCGCTTCATAAAACCAACCTGCTTATGAAGCTTATCTCTGCCTTTCTGACCCTCCACCAGCTTCTCCAAACTTTTTGTGCCACACACCAGAGTGTATTAAAAATGTCTATTTTGGGGCGCCTGGGTGGCTCAGTCGGTTAAGGGGCTGCCTTCAGCTCAGGTCATGATCCCAGGGTCCTGAGATCGAGCCCCACATCGGGCTCCCTGCTCGGCCGGAAGCCTGCTTCTCCCTCTCCCACTCCCCCTGCTTGTATTCCCTCTCTCGCTCTCTCTCTCTCTCTCTCTCAAATAAATAAATAAATAAATCTTAAAAAAAAAAAAGTCAACGGATTTGTTCCCATTAACCCCTTCTTTCATTTAAAAAAATGTCTATTTTGTATATTTTTATTAGCTTATTGGTACATTTAATGAATTTATTAATGTATTTATAAATCAATATGAGTACATAAATGGAGCTGTGGGCTCAGAAACTTTTTATTGAAAGTAGTAGTCAAAACGTTGGAAGACCACTAGCCTATGCCTACCCCTGAGTAGTTGGTCATACTCTTTCTTGTTTGTTTCATTTGTTGGTGTGGTCTCCGCAACCAGGTTGTCAGTTCCTTGAGCACACAATGTCTTATACTTTCTTGTATATCCCACGGGCCCTGCCTTGTGGTTGTCACTAAATTCATGAGCATTTACAAATACTTTGGCTTGACTTACCTTCTCCAGGAAGTCTTCCTCCACTTCTTTGCCTTCATTCAATCCCACGGCAGAAACCTATTCTGAATTCCTGTGTAGCCATCTGCAGCAGTCATTGCCCTGTTGGTTATATGCCTCCATGCCTTTGCTGGAACTTTATGCATCATAGTTGTTCTGCCCAGGTAATAAACTTGATAGTTGAAGGTGGGGACCATGGCCTCACAGTGTCTAGCCAGGTGCTGGAGATACCATAGTAGGATGTGCCCAGTAATCCTTTTTAAGCTCACTAATGTGAGGACTACTCAAGACCCTTTGAGTTCTCAGTTATGGCAGTAACCAATCCTTCCTTTGCCTCTGCTTGAACTAGCCCAGTGTGGTGTGAGCCAGAGGGAAGTGTATGTGCCAGGATGCTACGTGAGTGAGATGATTTTTTTGTGCCTGGGGAGGAGATACGTGGTTTTTTAATTTTAAGATATGTACTTGTTTTGCCATGTATTAGAAAGAAAATATAATATCAGATAATTTTACAAATACTATGCTTAGGATACAGTACATTTAAAGAGAAAGTTTAATATTAATGTAAATGGTGTGTGGATATAGCAGAATCATGAAGGCAGCCTGTGAACGACTGAATTTGGAGAACTCTAACCCAGACTTGTTCAGAAGGACAGCTGGAGTCCGAGGAGCCCTCATCCCCCTTAACCATACATACTTTATCAGGGGCTTCTTTCTCCCCAGTCCCTTATGCAGATATAAGTAGTTTCTTAGAACTTCACTTGCTGTAAGAGTTTAATAATAATCCAGAGGCATCTCCTGAATTGTTCTGAATTCTAATGGGCAAATGGGAACATGGAAATCTGTTCCCAATGTGGACATCAGAGCAGCAGATTCTGAGAAGCACAGAGGTCAGAAAGCTGAGCCTCTGCCCCAAGGGACCCAGCTGTAGTTCTGTGCATTGCAGTTCCTAGAACCCTTCTCTGCTGTAAGAGGTACCATAGGATAGGCGCGCCCTTGGAATTTCCAAGCCTCACTGGCCCAGATGTCACTGTGGGTGTCATTTGGGACTGTGCAGTCCCAAGCTTTGCTTTGAGGCTCACTTGCAAACTCTTGGCAGAGCCACGTGTCAACTCCTTTTCCATCCTTGGAATGAAAGGGTTTCTGCCCTTCTACCTGGCAGTCTGTTTTTCGGAATGAACTTGTGATTCCTTTACTTCAAACTGGACTACCACGATTTGACTATTTGGGAATCTAAAAAGCCATTTCTTCCCCTTACCAACGAGCAAGGCAGTTTACAGTTCAAAAGAAGAGGTGGATCATTCTCCGATATCTTACTTGGTGGGGGGGGGGTTGGTTCTAGACAGCACTTGCTGCAATAATTGGGTTAAAGTTTGATCAATATGGGGAGGATGTGAAGAATCCTCAGTTCAGTGTTGGTGGGACTATAAATTGGTATAACCTCTTAGAGGGTACTTTGACTCTAGAGGGAATATCTGTAAGAATTAAAAATGCATGAACAAATACCCTTTGACCCAGCATTCTCTAGGAATTTATCTTTTAGATATATTTGCATGTAAGCCAAAAACAATTTTAGAGGGATCCATAACAGAATTGTTTATAATGGCAAAAGACTGGAAATAACCTAAATGTCCATCAGGAAAAAATTGATTAAATTATAACACAGCCTTATGTTGGAATTTTGTGCAGCTATTAAAAAGAATGGGCAGCTGTGTACATCTAGAAGGAGCTTCAAGTTGTTATGGGAAAAGAAAGGTTCAAAACAGAGTGAGCTATCATTTGTGTAAGGAAGAAAGAACTAAATATATACAGGTATGCTTTTATCTACATAGAATATCCCTGGAAGGACAAATAAAGAAACTGCCAATAAATGTTGCCCTTGAGAAGGGGAACTATGACAGGGGTAAAAGGGAGACTTTGTTTTTATATTATATCCTTTTGTATTAGTTGAATAATGTTTTACTATGTGCTGGTATTACCTATTGCATAACTTTTTAAATGTTTAATCCACAGTAATTTTATATTAAATTGCTTTTGATTTTTCACATTCTCAACATTTCATTTACTGGCTGGTGAACTGAGAAAGTTGAAGATGTATACCTCTACATAAGGAGCATTAGAAAGATACTAAGAGCCTCACCCATTTTCCTCTTTTAATAGCTCACAGACGCAGACCTGATTAAACAGTGTATAGATGAATGCACAGCCAGGATTGAAATTGGACTGCATTACCAGATTCCTTATCCAAGGCCAGTAAGTGTGACTCCAGCTAACTTGTGGTGGGTACTTATCCTCATCAACCCAGTTATTTCCAAGAATGTGTACCAAGAGGGCTAGTGTTTGCCCAGAAGTCTAGAGCTTCTGTGGGAGGCATGTTGGAAGTAAGCTATCCTTGCATGCCGCCAACCCATTACAACAAACTAAAATGTCAGTGAATGCCTGATTTCTCCTACTCGTACAACTTTCCCACATATAGAAGGGAAAGCCAGATTATATTTATATAGCTTTCTCTTTTGACTTTCATCTTTTTTTTTTTAAAGATTTTATTTATTTATTTGAGAGAGAGAGAAAGCACATGAGGGGGGGAGGGTCAGAGGGAGAAGCAGACTCCCTGCCAAGCAGGGAGCCCGATGCGGGACTCGATCCCAGGACTCCAGGATCATGACCTGAGCCGAAGGCAGTCACTTAACCAACTGAGCCACCCAGGCGCCCTTGACTTTCATCTTTTTTATGGAAACATTTTTCTTTTCTTTTAATGAAAGACAGGTTTGTTGTTAATAGCATTAAAGGTGGGAAGTGAAAATGGTCCAAATTTCTCACCCTGTGGAAGTTACCACTGTAACTGTTAGGTTGGGCCATATGAAATTGCCAGTGTTCTACTCTTGACCTACAGAAACAATAATTTTATACTGTACTGGCTCAACCTAATAGTTGGGCAGTATATCCTTTGTCTTTTTTCTATATTCGTGTACATACATACATTTTCTTTTTTTTTTTCTAAGATTTTATTTATTTGACAGAGAGAGACACAGCGAGAGAAGGAACACAAGCGGGGGGAGTGGGAGAGGGAGAAGCAGGCTTCCCACAGAGCAGGGAGCCCGATGCGGGGCTTGATTCCAGGACCCTGGGACCATGACCTGAGCCGAAGGCAGATGCTTAATGACTGAGCCGACCAGGTGCCCCCATACATACATTTTCTTAATGTACATGGAATCCTGGGCATGCTCTTTGCTGCTTGCTTATTTTACTTCATCTGTTCTGGTAGTCTCTGCCTCCCATCTTTTTAAATGGTTGTTGCTGTATCCTCTTGACAAGAACGTGCCATAATTTACCCAGCAGCCATTTAGTAGGCATTTAGACTGGTCCCAGTTTCCCACTATGCACAGAGTAGCTTTGTATACACAAATTTTTTTTCTCGCCGCCTTTGGATTCTTATCTCACCATGTGATCTGTGGTCATTTTCCCCTCCATGCAGGCAATATGACAAAGAACAATACCAGCTCTGGAATCAGACCTGGGTTCAAATCCTGATTCTACCACTTAATGTATATATAAGCTTGAACAAGTTTTTAACTTCTGAGCCTCCATTTCTAATCTATAGATATTATCTAATTCCTTATGAGATTATTGCAAGGATTAATGTATATAAGGATTTTAAGGATTAATGAATCAGTGTAGATTTAGTGCTTAGCAGAGGGTATAGTACCTAGTAAATCTTCAGTGGATATAAGCTGCTGTAATGATTATAATTCTTAATACTATCATTATTCTTATTCTCATTATTCAGATTCATCTGCCTCCAATGGGCCTTACCCCACTACAAGGCCGGGGACTTCGAAGCCAGGAAAAACTGAGGAAACTTTCCAAACCAGTATATCTCAAGTCTCATGATGAGATTTCTTAATCCAGAAGAAAATTTCTCAGAATGATGAGCCAACTAGGTCTTGAATGTAAACCAGATGACAAATCCCTTCTGTTTGATTAGGGGCAAAAATTAAAGTATCTTAAAAACCTCCAAAATATTGGTAATCACCCCATGACCTGTACTCACACATCCTTACAGTTCATCAGGGTCTTGTTGCCTACATGGATGACACTAATCCTAGAGGTTGCACCCCCACTGAAGCATCATTTGGAAACAAGACTAAGGCCTGTAGAAGGAAGACAAGGCTGACAAAGCTTTTTCATGGAAATGCCATTCGCCAGACATGCCAGCTGATAGGAAGAAATTAGCCAATTGCTGGAAGTTCTCATAGCTACTATAAAACTATACACCACCTTCAGAATATTTTTAGGCGTTTTCCCCCAGAGTTTTTGCTTAAAAAACAAAGGCTTGCTTGAAAGTGGTGTTTCTTTGTGTATGTTTTATCTTTTGATCTTCCCAATTTCCAGATACATTCCCCTTAAAAAGTGCATCATTGGGGGTGCCTGGGTGGCTCAGTCGGTTAAGCATCCGACTCTTGATTTCAGCTCAGGTCCTGATCCCGAATTCTTAGGATTGAGCCCTGCATTGGGCTCCACACTCAGCAGGGAATCTGCTTGAGGAGTCTCTCTCTCTCCCTCTCCCCCTCCCCCTGCTTGTGCTTTCTCTCTCTAAAATAAATAAATCTTTTTAAAAAAAGGTGAATCATTGGATTGATTATGTTTTTTCATGGAAATTTTACATGAGACCCATTCCTGCCCCCAACATACACATACACAAGAGTATTTGTGTTAGATAGTTATATAGTTAGGCTATAGTTACCTTATAGCCTCTGATCACTTACGATGCACTTAGGATCTGAAAGGCTCACTTAAAACCATTCTGCATTCATTATAAGTATTTTATCTTAACATAATTAGAAGGTACAAGGGCCAAGGTGGCTTTCAAATTATGTCTAAACAAATGGCACAAAGAGAAATCAAAATACAAAGGATTTATACCCCTGCATGTGTGGAGTCCCATGGTAAGTCACATGTACCTTATATCATTCCTTCTGACCTCCAAAGAGGATGAGCATCACCAATAAAGACAAATCTGTATCAATTTTGGTCTTTCTCTTTTCTTTTCCAAAATGGCCTTGTGACCCTCAGAAGCAGCAGATGATAACTTCCTGCCCATACCTAGATTAGGATTCCCTTCTCACACTGATCGTCTCAAAGTAAACGTTATATTTCAATCCCCAAGCCTGTTCCTGTGAGCAGAAGCACACCCTCTCATGCTGAGATTAAGTACTGCAGAGCTTGGCAATGACCTGGAGAACAAATATATCACTGTAGCAATAACCTATGCATATTGAACACAACTGCAGCTACAGGCCTTTGGTGAAGAGAGATGAGAAATTTAAATGTGCTGGCAGATGTGTTGGCCATTGAGTGAGCACAAAGCCTAGCCTCGCTTGAACTGGGAGACGTGAATCTGCTATTCTATCAGTCACTCTCTTCTCTGGTCTCACAGTAGAAGCATCTCCCTGCTCAGAGGTGGTTCTAGTGTTAAAGCATTTTCTCACGCAACATAGGACCTGTGAAACTTCGTCTGATGGTCAACCATTGAAACAGTGATCTGTTCTTGCATTGGAGGAAAAACTGGTTCTGCTGGACCAAGTGAGACATGGCTTGCCTGTCTCCTTCCTGGCCCCTTTCTAAGTAACTCAAGGTGATTTTGACTGCAACTTTCATCTTTAACTCTGTTGAGTGGAGAAACCACCCTTCCCCCCCCCAAGCCTCTTCCAAAATGAAAGCCCATCTAATTGCTAGCTAGCCTCCTGAGTATCTTCTATGTGCCAGGAACCTTATCTAAATGCATTTTATATGCCTAACCTCCTTTGCAAAGATGTATATTCTAATACACATGAACATAATTGTCAAATTACTACCAAAACTTCCATATAAGTTATGTTTATAATAGCTTTTTCCCCCCTCCCATTTTCTCTCGAAGACTATAAGATCTCCATCTTTGGTCTTTTAAAGGCAGAACTTATCTTCCCTATGTCCCCTCTTCCAATGAAATTTTCTTCCAACACCAACAAGGACTGAAAACTATTTACCCAACAGCTAGATTTTTAAAGAGCAAGGACTAGCTTGGTGACAATGTTTGTCTGGTGTTATCTGCTGAGCTATTTATAGGTAGGACCTGCAGCTTCTCACCAAGCTCATCTCTGGCCATCTCTGCCCCAGGACTCCAGCCTCTAACTCACCAGGATTTCTGAAGAACAAACTGCACTTTCCAGGGGGAGACATTAATTACGATATTGGCCCCAGTAGACAATGACCTCAAATTTAGGGCACTCTTTCTTTTCAAAGTGGAGGAAATTTTTTAAATTACAAAAATTTAATCCATCGTACAGAAACATTCTGTCCCTTGACCCCTGAGGAATGAAACAGTCTGTCCTTGCTTCCCTCAGCTTTTTGTTGCTGAAACCGGGGGTTAGATAACTAAAATTCAATTGTTCTGTTAGCAACCCCCTCACTCTCTTCAAGCTTACAATATGACTTACCCAGTCCAAGATTCAGGCATTTGGGATCCTGACCATCTTTCCATCTCACATGACTAACAATCTTACTTGGAATGATAACAGCAGTTTCAGCTCTATTCATTCTGACTTTCTTTCCCCCATTGGGGTGTAAAAAAAAACCCCGTCTTTCCCCCCCGCCAAAAACCAAAAAACTATTAAATAACCTGCAATGAGCTGTAAGAGACTGCTCCTCTTCACTGTTTCTTTATTGCCTCCTGGCACAATTTGGAGAACGGCGCTTTTGTACTTAATCTCTAGGATCTCTCAGATAATTTGCTGATACCAGAATTCAGGGTTCTTAATTGGAATTTGAGCAATTCCATGTTTCCATGAAAAGGTTTCTGGAATATGTTTGTTTGGTTCTCAGAAGCTTCCCACATTCAGGAACAATTAAAGACCTTGAGGACATTTCTTCTAGTGAAGAGGCAGAGAAACCAGCCTTATGTCCTTGCTCAACAATGAACTGACCAGTGGAATGCCCTGAAGGAGGTCACTTAGAGCCAAAGAGCTAAGTGAAGGAGTTAGCTGAGAAGTAAATATATCAAAAATGTGATTTTCATATCCCTCAGGATTCCCTTCTAGCTGGCCCTGGGGGAAAACAGTGATAAACTAGAAATTTTTTGGACATGGCTGTTGCAGCTACACATTTAAGATTCTACATCATAACACAGCCAAGTTGTTGGCAGGGAGGCAGCATGTGGCAGTGAAAAACGCATGGCTTCTAGAGCCAGACAGACCTTGCCTCAAAACCTGGCTCTGCAATGTGAAAGAACTGGGTGACCTTAGGCAAGTTACATAATTTCCCTGAACCTCCAGAGGGAGAGACTGTCGTACGTACCACAGAGGAACAATCAAGACATCTAAAGGCCCAGGCACAACCCATGGCATGCAGTAGGCCTGCAACAAATACTGGTTCTCTCATGTCTCCTTTCTTCCTGAAATTTCTGTGCATCTGTTGCAGGCTAGTAGAGAAGTATTTGTGTCCCAGTTCTACCACTGATGAACTGTGGAAGCTTGGGCTAGTTATTTTTCTAAGCCTCCATTTCTGCATCTCTAAAATGGGCATAATAATACCCCACCACATGATTGTTGTGAGAAGTGATTTTCAAATATATCAAAACCTTAAAAAAATGAAAGCAGCTCAATCCTCTTTGAACCTGAGACTACACAGAGGAGGAAAGAAGCAATTAAAAGTTCAGTGGCAGTTATAGCAAAACCGACAAGAGAAAACCAAAAAGGGGCTTAGCCAAATGGCTAAAGGTCTAGGTTGAAGAAAGAGTCCCACTGTCGGTGTTCAAATCCAGGCTCCACTATTTTAGTAGCTATCTGATTTGGGAGATCTTACTTACCTTCTCTGTATCACGGTTTCTGCAGCCATCAAATGAGGATGATGATAATAACCTACTTTATAGGGCTGTTCTGAAATCCTGGCTCATAGCAAGTGCTCTACTTATATAACTGCTGCCATCCTCATCATACCAGGTGCCTCTTACGAAAGGAAAGCTAGGCTGTGGTCAAGAACGAAATGCCTTTTATTTTCTGCATTGAGACAGATGCCATTAATTATCCAGCTGGCACAGAGAGGCTACCCCTCGGTTTATCCAGTGCTTCTGGGGCCTGTCTGTTGGTAGTTCAATGGAGAGAACATAGTTGGTGGAGTGGCCTGTGGTAGAGAGGATGCCTCTTCGGGCACTTGTTTTGTAGACTGGACACACATAAATGTTCTGATGCAGAAACATCGCACTTTCCCCAGGTTTCAGCCAAATAATGGGCAATGGGTCATAGAGAATTTTGGGGAAAGACTCCCCAATCTGCTTTGTTTTCCTGTCCCAGCGGGCACCTTCTAAGAAGAGGCCTTTTATGTAGGCCCCATCTTCTGGGCTACTCTCCATGACCGCTTCTTGTGGGGTTACCTGGAAGAGAGGAAGCTGTAAGTTCTATTACCTGTCATTTCCCTAAATGGGGCAGCATGAAGAGATTAGAATATCTGCTGCAATGCCTGCCTTTCCCAAATGCATTTCCCAGGACACTGGGGCTTCTGTGATAATCCTCCTGCCCTCACACATGTACTGGGTCTGATCCCTAGTCAGCATGCTGCCCTTATATATGGTGGGCATAGAGAATGCACTAAAGTAGGAGTCAGGAGGCCATGTTAACTATAGCTTAGCAACCTTGCATAGTCCTTTCCCTTTCTGGACCTGGATCTATAAAGTGAGGGGTTAGATTCAGACACATGCTGGTGAAGCAGTTCTCTGGTGGGGAGAAATAGAGCCTTGATTTGTAGTTTTTGTTGATGTCTATGGTGCATATGGTCAGTTTTAGGCTATCAACTATGTAATAACCAGCCACAACTGGCTCTGGTGAGTTGATATAAGCCAGCTCCAGCACACCACTGCTTAGGTTCAGAGGTGGCAAAGTCAAATTCCTTCAGGTGAGTGCAGAAAATGGTCCAAGTGTAGGAAAACAAGGAGTGGTAGGGATTATGGTGAACCAGAGATCACAAACTCCATTTAAAAATCATTCAAA